CAAGTAAATATCACCTACGGGAAAAATCTAGATACATTTCGTCTGTAATCGGGCGATACACGACTAGTTGCCATCTAGATTACTAGTTGGAAAAGGGACTTTTAACTAGATGCGTCTGCAGGTGCATTTAGTAATAAAAATCGATCGATTATCGGGCGATAAATCGATAATTGCAACTAGAAAAAATCTAGTAATCGCCCAATTACTAGATTTCCACTGTCATTACACAGTAGTTGCGATCGAGTAAAAATCTAGTAATCTAGATGAATCGGGCGATAGTAGATTTTTTTTGAACGCTTGGGGACTCAAAGGCTGCGAAATTTGTCCTCTTCGCTAAAGAATCTATCGATACATTAGCGGAAGTTTTTGACCTTTCAGCTGTACTCTGATTCTTCAACACAAAAAGAGCAGAGAGCGAGAATAACGAACCAAAATCTCCTTGTCCAACATTTGTATCAAATTTCATTTTTACCTTCGAATTTTTTGAATAAATAAATACGATGGATCTTGTTGTTGCAGCTTCTTTCTGCTCTTATCGATATAAGTATCTAATTTTTTGTCTACAATAGAATGAGACGATGAATTATGCCCTTTTTAATTAGGCTTCGGTGATTCATGTGAAATATTTGTATATATGTCATAAACTTCTTTAAAGTTTTGTGTACTAGAAGCAGAGGAAAACGGATCAAAATGTCAGATTCGCAACCGCCATGTTGGTCATATTTTCTCAACAGTAACAATACTGTTAGCTGTCGATAAATGTGTACCAGCACATGTCGTAGTCGCTTCTCACTTTTGACCACTTATTTCTGGTGACGTCATAACAGAGACAAAAGTTTGATGAAAGGGAGGTAACCTTTTCTTTTCTACTGCATAGACAGGAATGTCCAATCTACCAGATTGATGTAAATCAGTAGAAAGAAGAAATTTTGCTAAAGGCTTGTCCCCTAACCAATACTCTCGATCCTGAATATTCAGAAATAGGCCAATTTCGAACATAAATCGATCCCTGACAATACTTTCTGATTGAATTTACGTGTAGTCACATCAGCTTCAGCCAGCCAACTTGAACCAGCCGATTATAAGTTTTCATCTGTAAGAGCCGAAGAGCGATTAGAGCCAACCGACTTACCAAAAGTTGGGCTTTCAGGCAGTTTTACCTTCTATTAGAAAATTCACAAAACATTTTACAAAACTCTAAGGTTTTCCAAAAGGGTTTTTTGGAAAATCCATTAACACAAATATGGTTTTTCGATTTTTTCGATCTTACAATCATGTTTAGCGGAGAAAACTAACCTTATCCTGAAGGTCTGAACTATTTCTGATGTTTATTGAGTGAATAGTGGATTTTCTAATAGAAGATGAAAACAGCCTGAAAGCCCAAATTTTGGTAACACTCGCTTTTCGGTAGATTTTTAGAACTTTTTCAAATATTGGCACAAGACTCAGCATGATAGATTCCCTATAATCCATCCGTTTTCGAGGGTACCAGTAGTCACCGGGTGCCAGTCTTGGAACTCGCAGGAAATCTGACACAACGCCCGAGCTACGGAAAATCAAGGTCTCGCTTGGCTCTCATTTTGGAGAGATTACCTTGGCCTATCATATCATGGAAGAAAATCAATACAATTTTATTGATAAATGTTTACACACAGGCTGGTTTTCCGAAAATCTCCTAGAAACCTATTTCAGAAAACACTTCTGGAAAAGTTTGTGGTTGTGAAAACATGTCAGCAAGTCTCTTCTTTCGCATGACGAAGGTCGAACCTCTCTAGCTACTTTCTATCAAATGTTATTCAAAAATCCGCGTCCATTCCTCTAAGTCCATTTACTGACAATACTCAGAGACTGTATAGCTCGTGGAAAAAATCAAATTTCTCAGCCAATATACGACCAAGTGCTGGGAATTTTTTTCCATAAACCTTATATAGGTTGTAAACACCTTGAGGTAATACATTAAATTCTGCCTAACGTTGTACTAATTCCACAGTTGTTGATTATGGAAAGGAATCTTTCTTCGTAACGGAATTCAATTTTCGATAATCAACTAAGAAACGTATTCCACCATTTGGTTTCTTATGCAGTATTACAGGTGTTGACCAGAAGGAATTTGAAGGACGAATTTGATCATTAGCCATCATGTCTTGGATTATTTTTTGTAATTCTCGGAATTGATCTACTGTTTGAGATATGGACGTGAGCTAATGTATAGGGCATCTCCGGTATTAATGGGTATGTTGAATGTGAAGTGTGAGCTTGGGTGATCTTTCATGAGTCGAAGACTTTTGCATGTGAGGATAGTATTATCTGTAAGTCGTTTCTTTCGAGCGGATCACGAATGTGTGCAACTAGTTTGTAGAGAATTCAATTCTTTACAAAAGCATATTTTTAGAAATTTGTTTTAAAAAATGTTTTTGGTTAAAACATTAAAAATCCAGTTTCTGAAAAGTTCAAACCAGGTTTTTTGGATGAAAAATGAACTTTTTTGGAAAGCGAGTTTCAAACGGGTTCTTAGAATAAAAAGCTATGTCTAACCATGTGTTCAAAACCTTCGATATCGAAAAAATATTTTCAAAAACTTGATCAGCGAAGTGTACCGTTACGTGGACAAGCCGTGCAATTCTTTCTCACATGTGTAACGGATAATTGGTCCATAACCGTTGCCGATATTGAATTTTTAAATATTTTAATTGCTCGTTTCTTATCAACATTTTTCAAATTTCTTGCTGTTTTAGTAACAAAGTTTAGTTTAAAACATAGTACACATTATGCACAGCTCGGTGTTGAAGGTCTCACTGTCTGAGTTAACAATATTTTGTGATTATCACTGACAATTGTTTTATGTAAACCGATTTTAGACAACGATCATGTCTGAACGAAGAAAGATTGCTTGTACAATGTACAACATTCTAGAAATAGTGTTGATCAGCCGACGTAAATTGTAGTTGGAATACCCGTAGGCATTTTGGTCGCTGAATACACAGGCCATTTTTGTTAGAAAAACATTTCATATCAGTGTTGGCACTCGTTATAGATTCAGTCGGAATTGTAACAATAATAATGTACAGAGAAAAATTCGTTAACGCAAGTCGTGGAAATGGTAAAAATCTTAAGAAGGACTATTGGAGTTGTAAGACCGAACAGGAGATAATTAAATATTTCGTTAAATAAATAAAAAATATACAATTTATGTGTTTAATAAAGTAGCGCCAATGAATTGCCGATTGATGAGCAATAGAATTGGAATGAAGTTGCGTGCATATGCGAATCTTCCTGATTATCCGCCCGATAAATGATCTCGGCTGTAGATCATCACCGAATTCATCACAGGGAAAATTGTAGAACTGATTGTGCTATTCCAATTCAATGGAAAACCCGAAAAACGATCACCTAAAGAGAAAGCAGAAAACAAAATTTATTTTTTGCACATCGATTCACACATCGATTTTTGACGCTGATAACGAATATCAAATTCGTTTTTGTTAGTAACAATGTTGAGATAAAGAATTTTGCAAAATAACGTAAACTTTTTTCAAAACACCCGTGTCAACATACTTTCCAAGGCTTTTTCGACAGCCTAGCCCTGTTTTTAAAAGAACTCTGCTGTTCATAACATGTAGAATTTCACGAGCTATAAGATACGTATTTTTGGACTTACGCGGCCTTGACCGTCTGCCGTTACTCTGCAACTCCTCACTCTTTACTACAGAGCGGTTACTATAATCAGTAACGAGCACATCTTCATATTTGTCAACTACAGTATCCTGCGGCTCGGCTGAAACTAATCAAGAATTATACTGAAACGAAAAAACAGTAAAACATAAGGTGCCGGCAATTCGAATTTCAACTAAAAATGTTTTTTTCGCGTCTTTCTTACATCATTTGATAGAGCGTGAGCTGCTGATCACGAAAATCTACTTTCTAGCCTTAGCAAATACTTCCTTCGAAAAATACGAAATATCTAACAATTGCCGGAGAAACTCGTGCAGATACGGGCGTCGTTTCCGTTTTGTCGTGCCATCGACCACTAGCCAACCAGCTAATCGTAATAACATTCTCGTGCCAATTCTTGGCAAGAGAGTAGAATCGTCCATAGAAGTCGGAAAGTTGGAACTGGAACCATTGAGTTCTTCTGATAATTAATTTGAAACCGGAACAGTGGGAAGCGAGCCCATTTGATTTGCCAAGCTATGCGATTCAACTTGTTGCTGTTGGTGAACGATGTTGTCTTGACAAGATGTAATACAGTTGGCTGGATTCGCACTACCTGTATTGTGGTGTTGTCGGTGCTCGTAATAGCGTTTTCTGCGTGATTGATGGAGTCAAATATTTTATCTCATTCGATTCATCATACCACCCCTCACCATGCTACGTATCGTTTTTTTTCTTTTCTTTTCTGTGTTGAGAAAAATCGTTTTTACTGGTATCCTAGAACAAGGCGGAAGGTCATTTTTAAATAAAATGGCTATTTTTTATTCAAACCGAGTCAAAATTGTAATATTTAAAAGGGGTATTTTTCAATTCAAAAATCTAGTTTAATGAATTTTGAAAAACCTTTTATTCATATTCCAAAGAATCTGATTCTAAGCAACTTTCGTTACCACATTTTTGCTTGAAAATGCTTCCTTCGAGCAAAATTTGGTTCAAAGTGCTTTTAAAAATAGTTTTTGCCTCAAAAGTCCATGAGACAGGTCAACGCGGAATAAATCAGTCAAAACTGAACCGAAAAGCTTGACAGAATTCTTTTGTAGATACTTGATCTTGATCCTGATGTCCTCGACTGACATAAAAAAATCGATGTTATAAGTAGAGATCTAAAACTTTTATTGAAATTTTTTAAAACCAGTCGAAAACTCGACGAAAATTTAAAAAATATTTTTCTCAAGAACTAGAAATCCAGGAATTAAAAGACTCATAGGATATCATGCTTCAGAGTACCTTGGCAACGTGGGAAAAGAAAACGAGTGAGTCTTAACAAGTGCAGGTAACAATCATAAAAGGATTGAATTGAATGAAGAATATAGTATCTGTAAAGAATTAGATAACATTTTCCGACGACATGTTGCGTTTTTCTCTATTATACAGAACCCATGAGATGTTTTTAGACAAAATAACGCTAAAAAACGTTCAACCAAAATACATACTCATTGCTCTGGTTTCGAGCTTCTTGAAGGCTACAATTTAACGATAAAAGTGCGCAGTGTTGTAACGGATCACAGATTTTATTCCGTTGTAACGCGTTAACAGATTCTATCTCGTTGAATGACATCAAATGGCTCAAATAG